ACTTTTCAAAATCGTCTGCTAACAGCTTTACATCTGTTTTTAAAAAGTTGCCAAACGTTTCACGTTTTTAAAGGTTTTCCAAACATTTTGCACGTGGTTATAATCTTTATTCGTAATACCATCTCTTGATAATCTTGAGTAAAAAGCGTCTTAATGTGGTAAACATCGTTCGTGAAATCTATCAAAGCAACCAACGTATTCATAAGGGTAAAAACCTTTAAGCTTCAGCAGTGATAGCTCACTATCAGTTAAGCGGACTCGAGTTATATTCAAGTCACCTAATTCAAGATTTTTTGCTAAAGTATCGAGAGATGAATTCATGAGTTGTAAATTATCGATAAATTGGAATTGGCCTAAACTAAACGTCATATAACTTTCAAGAAACCGCATTATCAGGTAAGGATCACAACCACGCAAATTGTGGAAGTCTACGGGACCTTAGTGACACCAAGCCTAATGCGAAGCTTAAGATTACATTGATTGTGGGCAGCACCTTGATATTTTCCGGTTATATGGCAATGATCACGAACCTTGTCAGTACCTAGATTTTTATTGCAAATGTAGCAAACTGACGCTTCATTGTAAAAGGTCTGATCTTTTTCACTCATAACCATTTTTTCTGGGTTCCTATACACTGCATTAAATATTCCCAAATCATTTTTTAAGCTTGCGAGAAAGTGAACTACTGCATCAGTGCCACAATATAAAACTGGTTCTTCAGCTTTACTGTCAGTTTACCAAAATTTTGCAATATCACTGCGCCACAATTGCTTAAAAAGCGGACGTGGCGCAGTGGTTAGGGCGCTTGCTTTAAAAGCAGGAGATCCAGGTTCGAAACGAACTCTGGACATATTTTTGCGTTACGGTAAATTCATATTCAAATTCCGCGGTGCTCGGTGACAAGACCGTTAGTTCTTCTTGAGGCACCTAAATAATAAAGTTTTACTGGAAATTTAATTTCATCAAAATTCAGTTCACCGAGATGGCTCTTATACTTTCAAGTTTGATCCGCATTCTTTTCAGTTGGTTATAATGCGCTAAGAATAGTCCACTTAAAACAGCGATCGTCTGTGTTTTTAACATTGATAACGCAACGTTTTGAAATGCAGCTTGGATTCTTATTATATGGTTTGCCTTTGAATGGAGTATATTTAGCGAGCCCAATGTGGAGGGATTCACAACGCTTCAGTTGCCAACGTGAACTCTCAGAAGCAAACTTTTCTAGAATTTCATTAATTTTTGCTGGAGCTTTGTCGAGTAAACCCTTAATATGATTTTTATTAAGAATAGGTCTAACATCTGAGCGCAATTAAACAGTTTGTGTTACAGTATCACCGTTAGGTTATGTTTTTTCTAGTTCAGCAACTAAAATCAGTGTTACTTTTTGCCTATTATTTTTAATCTTGCTTTCTATTAACTCTTCAAATATTAGGTTTCATTTCATCTATAAATACAAGCTAATCAGATTCGAGTCTGTGGCCTTGCGACAATTTTACAATATAATCCACGAGCTGACGAGTTAATTTGCTGATTTCAAATTCTGGTTTATGTTAATTTTAAACCCTAAACCATTACCTAATCATTTACTTCTTTTAAAGAAAGTTTTAATTTTGGTGGATCTTCAATCTTTGAAATAGAAACTGGCCTCGGAGCTGGCCTAATAGCTGGTCGAGGGGCTGGTCTAAGAGCTTGTCGAAGGGCTGGTTTAGGAGCTGGTTAAGGGACTAGCCTAGGAGCTAGCTGAGAGGTTGATTTAAAATTTTTTTTTATACTAACATGACCTTTTCATTTCTTTTTAAAAGTTGATTTCTCAACTGGCATTGCTGCTAATGCAAAAACTTCTCGCATTTGAGCAAGAGTATTGCATAGTATTGCATAGTAAATCTTAAATTTATTGCATAGTAAATCTTAAAGATCTGCAAGAGCTTGAGCTTTTGATGTATATGTTATTTTATAAGGTTTATATGTTAATTTATAAGGCTGCTTTTTTTTATAGCTCTTCTCTCTCTAACATGAGCTACTTTTGTTTTACATGCTTCCTTGCTTTTTGCTAAGTTTATAATATCTTCTCACACATCTAATTTCTTTAAATTTCTTTGTAACTTAGCTAGTTTAGTTTATTTCATAATATCATTAGAGTAACAGTCAGAATTTCATTTGTTATCGTTATAATGAGTTCTTGGGATAGATCTTCACGTTTTAGCTGGTAAATGTTAATCTGAGTTTTTTCTTAAAATTTTTCTGCAAATTTAATTCATCAAATAATTCAATTTGTCTATTTTTATTTTTCTTATACGTGGAACATATTCATATGTCGCTTCTCCAATAAGTTTTACAAAACGTATATGAAGATGTCCGTTCACCATGTAAATTTTTTTACATAGTTGTAACTAAGAAAAGAGTTAGATAATTATCTAACTCTTTTCTATAGACCTCAGCTATTTCTACTAATTCTTCTTTTTTTTCTTTTGACAAAATAACTATTATTTTTTTAATATCCATTTTAATCTTTTTTGAAAAAAATTTTATATATGTTTTTTAACTTTACATATCATGTTTTTCTCTAATTAAAAATTTCAATAATGTTTGTTTTTTTTACTCAAGGTCTGATAATAAATACTCTTCTCCTGTTTTTTTTACGATAACCGCTTTTCATAAAGTCAAATTCCTATAGGACTCATACAGATGCTACCAAAGTGAACAATAGCACCAATTTTACACTCTTTTTCAATAAAATATTTATTATTATAATTCGAAAATTTTCTCTATTTACTAATCAAAGCTAATCAAAGCAAATTTACTATTGGTAATCTGTGTATCGTTTTACCTCACATTAAGTATAGCTCATTTTTATCATAAAATTATGTTTTATGCTCAATAAAGTTCTAATTACTGATTGCCCTTCTTTAACCATATTTACAATTTTAGAAATTTTTCTTTTACTGAAAGAGTGTAATCTGCTTCTATTGGGAATAAATTATTTATTTATTTCAGCCATTTGCGTTGTAATTATAAGATCATTTGCTTTTTTTTTGTTATATCTCTTATTTTATTATTCTTTCTCACTGTTTTTGAGTACTCTTCACCACGTTTAAGACGTTGACTAGATTTATTAAATAAATTTATTAATATCGTCTCCTTTAATCTTTAGTAACAGTATTAGTCTCTTTTTTTCTGTGTCATTTTTGTGGATAACACATCCTGCTTAGGTTTCATTAGCTATAGAAATCAAGTATCTCAAAATTACCATAGGACCTGTATACGTCATTACTTACAAAACATTATTATTACCTTTTTTAGGATGATTCCATTTGAATTTTAAAGCTAGTGACCACCAGTCACTTAAAACAGTATTTTTTTTTTCAGATAAATAGCTAACAATATCTTTAGTGTTAAAAATCATTTTTCTTCCGCTTGCTAATATATAATATATATAATCATTTTTTGCAATTGTAAATTTACTTGGCAAAATGCTTAAACATAATATTTACTTTGGGTAAAAATAACTGAGTACAATTTGTTAAAAAGAGCGGAAAATCCTGATGTGGAAATCCCCTCCATTTAATGGCCGCTTGATAGTACTGAACCATGGAGGGGGTTGCGAATTGATTGCCAAGAAGCAGAGTAAAGTAGTTACGTCACTACTTGATAAGATATCAAAAATTTTGCAGAGTGGTGTAAAAAATTTCCAAGAGCAAAGTAGTGTCAAAATCGACGTCAACAAAGGTGATAACGTCAAGTGGCGTCTAACCCGATGCTAAAAATTTTTATGAAGGTGAAATCGTCAAGTGAGCTCAAACCAGGTCCGTCCCGAGGGAGGAATGGGTATAGGGGGTGTCTAGCTCCCCTACGAATATTATTAGTTGGCAAATTGGATATTGGAGTCGGCAAAATTTGTTTTTTTGTTGGCAGTTGGCAAATATCGGAAAACGAGAACCTTTTTTTTTTTTTTTCAGGTTGATAACTTAGGGAACAAAAGTTTTTTATTTGGCTTTAGTCGGCAAAAAACAGACACCTTAGAGTATTACTTTGATTATTAAAATGTTTTACTATATTTACTTCATCAACAAAATTTTGTTTTTAGGAGCTTACAATGTAATTACACTTTTTTTACATATAATGGTTCGACTTTTAAACTGATCGTCTTGTAAAAAGACGTCTTGCTAAAGAATCATTAACTGTTTTAGCTATGCCCATGTAACATAAATCTACGTCATATACGTCAATAGTTTGTTAGAAGTAAATTAGAAAGATTTAAATAATAAAAGATAAAAAATTAGAAATTAGAAGTGAAAAGTTTTACTTCTGAGAATCTTTTTTCTTCGGTTTTGGCCTTAGCCTAAAGCAGTGAAAATTTTTATAAAACATATCTAGTTAGTACTAGTTAGTAGTTAGTACTAGTTAGTAGTTAGTACTAGTTATAACTGATTCGCAAGAAGAAAAAAAAGATTTTTATTATATTAAGCATTAAATGATCTCTTTGGTGTTATTTTCGCCTCGTGTTTCAAAATATTTAACAATAATGTAATAGGAGGTTAAAATATTATCTTAAGCCTTTATTATACTGTTGAGAAATTAGCTTATTGATCATCAATTTTAATTCCATTTAAAAAAGACGCATATTTTTAATACATAACGTTACATATTTGAAAGTAAGAATTAAACCATAGTATATTTGGTTTAATTTATACTTTCAAAGTCATGAAAGAAAATCAATCAAATTTTCAGAAGCAAAATATTCCATAGAAAAGTTCAGTAATTATACTAAAATAATAGTAACCATAATAAAAGTCTTAAAAAAATAAAAATTAACTTTTCTTCTTTCAAAAAAATATCTATGTGTATATAAGTTTTTAAAAAGAAACTTTACAAAAAGACGTTTGCCTAACGCTACTTAAAAAAAAGTTATAAAATTTTAGTACAAAAATTTGTTCCGTAAATCGGATTTTCCGCATACCTATCTTTGCTGTGAATAGTGTTGTGCGACTGTCACGCGTACGTAAGTCACGCAACAAATAAATGATTGTCACGTGTTGCAGGCAATGGGTTACAACTATAGGTCTTAGAGCATATACCATATGCTTAAAGATACATAGTTGAAATCTTTTATCAAATTAAGCTTTCATGTAATTTTATATTTTAAAAAAATGCATGAAAAGCTTACTTTACACCAAATCCTACTTGCTCTTGGAATGCTTGTAACAGGCTCAATTAATTCACTATCAAGTAAAACACAATTTCAAACTAAGTGAGTATTGTTAGTAATAATTTATAAATGTTTTAAACACAGACAATCACCAAATGTAATTAATACTTTTAGCTGTGTGTTTCGAACAACCACTTAGATCATATAAAATAGGAATTTGTATTAAATTATATTTAATACAATTTCCTATTTTATATAATCTATGTGGTTGTTCGAAACACACAGCTAAAAATACAAATTACATTCCTAGATTTCTTTTATTTAAAATATATACAGAAATCTAAGAATAGCTTAATAATTAAGCTATTTCAGTGAGTTTTAAAATCTGCAATTAAGTAATATACTTTACCACATTTAGTTTACATAATTTTGTAGTATCTCAAGATATAATGGCAAAAGTTTAAATATATTTATAATTTTTTTTAGTTTTTGTATAAGAGGATTAAGTTTAGTTTATGTTGCATTAATAGAGTGCTTGTCCCCACCACATCCCTGGTAGTACTGCACTTAACTTGTGTCTCTGCAGTGGCCTCTTTCATCAAGGTTTGTGTTTCGGAGTTATGGGCTTGAGAGAGGGTTGTAGCCACAATTAAAATGTTGCCTTAAATGTAGTGGGATTCTCGGCCTTAAGGTAGTGAATTAATATTATAAAGAAGAGTTGACTATGGGTTATTTGTACTTCATAATTCATTATTAACTTGTACTTCGTAATTAATTATTAACTTTTCCTCATATGTACTTACAATTTTCAAGGAAACCATAGCTTTTTTTTTTTTGGTTTCCGTATATAGCTTCTTAAAGAATTTATGAGTTTTGTATTTATAATTTTTTCTTATGAAACTGGTGTTCTGACCTGCTCAGTTTTGTATTTCTTATGGTAGGTATGCAGAAATTGCATTTTTGGTATTGTTTAAAATTCTATGCCTTGTTTGAACTTTTTTTTAGGTAGCATCAGATAAACATTTTTCATAGATGTTTCCTTTTAGAAACATATATGTCCTAAAGTTTTTTTTTTCAATTCAAAAATCATGTTATTTTAAATATATATGCATATATAATGCATATATATGTAATTTATATATATATATATATATATATATATATATATATATATATATATATATATATATATATATATATATATATATATATATATATATATATATATATGTATATATATATATATATGTATATATATATATATATATATATATATATATATATATATATGTATATATATATATATATATATATATATATATATATATATATATATATATATATATATATATATATATATATATATATATAAGCCCTTTAGATCTATCACAATCATTCTCATATTTGATAGTATCAATATTAATAACTATTAGCAATGTTTAGAGCCTGTAACAAGAAAAAAAAAAAAATTATGACCTACCCTAATATATATATATATATATATATATATATATATATATATATATATATATATATATATATATATATATATATATATGTATATATATATATATGTATATATATATATATATATATATATATATATATATATATATATATATATATATATATATATAAACATATTAGCTTCCAACAAGGCTGTAAGCAACCTCTAATTAGTGTTGGAAGTTACTGGAAAAGAAAAGATGAAGATTGTAGAGCAAGATAACGATTGACAGACGACCTAAAGTATTGCAAATTATATGAATCAGGAAAGCAAGACAAAGGAAGCGAATTTCAAAGAACTGATGTTCGAGGAAAAAAACTAAACGAATAAGAGTTTTTAGAGCACTTAGGAACAGTCACAGAAAAAGGATGAGACTTAATTGAATGACGAGTAACACGAGAATGAATTTTAGTAGATGGCACAAGAGACGCTAGCTCTTTAGAGCAGTGCCCATTATAGTATTTGTAGGAAAGAGAAAGAGAAGCAACATTTCAATGAGGTGATAAAGGTTGAAGGTTGTCTGTAAGAGCAGGTCCAACTATGTTTACAATGCGTTTTTGCACCTTGTCTAAAAGAGAAAAGGCATCTTTATAAGATCTTTATATAAAGGTCACGAGATTAATAATTTATTTCTTACTAACTGCAGTAATAAAGTTATTCTTGAAGGCCTACACTCTTCTTTATTTCAAGTAACTTTAAGGATACCACAAGGTATCCTGTGGTACTCTGAAATCTTTGTTCCTGCATTGTTTCTTATCTACAATATCAATTTTCATTAAAATTTAACATCTAAAGTGGCTTTATTTGCTGATGACTCAACTTTATACTCTAGTCTTGACAAAAATTTTTCACTTTTTGATTGCATAGAACAAGTAGCTGATTTTTAATCTGATTTCTCTTCTGTAACCATAATTAAGTAATTAACCATAATTAATTTCTTAATTTTAATTTCTTATCTGATTATTCATTTATATAGATTTAAATTTAATTATTTAGAATTATTATTTTATATATGTAACCCTTCTGTGGTTTACGGATTTAAATTCTGAGGTTTGCTGTGGCTTATGGATTTAAATTCTGGACTTAAAGTCTCCAATTTTTGTTAGCCAACAAAACTCATTTATTTAATGCAAAAAAAAAATAAAAAAAATTGCAATAATGTTGGCATTCCTATATTGATGAATAACAACCCTCTTACTCTCAGACAAAATCTAAAAGCACATTGTAAATGTAATGTGGTCGTGGTGTAGTGGTAGAGCACTCTTGTCATAAGTGAGAGGTACCAAGTTCGATCCACACCTTGTCCCTGTTAGTACCATGCTCAACTAGTTTCTCTGTGCAGTGTCCTTGGTTGTCAAGGTTCTTGTTTCAGAGTTATATAGTTGAGAGAGGGTTGTAGCCACAATTAAGTAGCCTCCTTGTCTGTAGTGACATTTTCAGACTTAGGGAGGTGAATTTACATAAAAGTAATAATAATAATAATGAAAGTAAATTAGACCTGCTTTATCTGCCAAGCTTGAGCCACTCACATTTTTTTTAGGTTGCATTTCTTTTTTCTACAAATACAATCATGGTCAATGCTCAAACAAGCTATTATCTTTATTATGATAAACCAAAACTCATTCTTGCTTGCTTCTTATTTCAACAAGTTGTATCCTTTTACTGTATCTGTCCCTTCATGCCATAAAAACTTTTATTATTCCAGTTTTTTCCTTGCAAATCAAAAAATCTTATAACTCCTACCCATCTTCATGTTTTTCTTTTATTTACAACCTACAACTTTTCAAGTCTTCAGTTAACCATTTCCTAGTATTTTACTTATTCTCTATTTTAAAGTAACTCATAAATTAATAATGGTTGCTTGCAATCTTGTTGGAAGTAAATTAGAGTTTGAAAATATATAATTGTATGCCAGTATTTAATAAATAGTATATGTAAGCATAAAATTATAATATATAAAGTATTATAATTTTTTTCCTAGCCCCAGCTATCAACCCCTGGTAAATTTTATAATTTACCCATGGCTGAGGCCGAATTTGAAAAACCTCATGCCCTCTAAGAAGTCTCATGTCCTCTAATATGTCAATGTATAATGCACTAATAGGTGTAGTTTTGCAAAACATAAGTTTTATATTATGTATTGTGAGTTGTATTATAATCTCAATTATTTTAATAATGATAAATTTATTTCTAAACTAATCATTTTTGAAAATAGGGTATTTTAAACTTTCACCACCACATCCTCCTGTAGCTCTAAGATATAGTTCTCACATTTATTTGTTGTCTGGAATAAAGTTTAAGTATTATTCTTTGAAAATTTTTGTATAAATACACTTTTTAATGAAAAAGTATGCAATACCACAAATACCACTTTAACCAAAAGTTTTTTTTTAATTTAAGTGGTCGTTCTGCACCCCCTCTATCCCTCAAGATACACGGGGTAGTGAGAAGCCAATATAAATTTGTAGCCCAATGTTACACCTATCTTTTGATACCATTTTTTATGTATTTGGAGGAGAATTAAAGAAGTTAGATATAAAATGACTGAATTTTTAAACTTATATATAAAAAAACTAAATTTTGACCACAGTTTCTTCAACAAATTTATAGATATTAAATTTTTTTAAATTTATAACATAACTTTTTGTAGAATTGTTAAATTTTAATAGTTTTTTTACCATTAAAATAATGTATTAAAGCTTATTTTAATATAATTATCTAGCATTTGATCAATTAAAAAGTTTCCATCCGCATACCTACTTCTTGTAAAACTTCTTTTTCAAGATAACGTTTTCAAAATTTCTTCCATAAGAAATATTTTGAAATTGTTTTATAAAAACATATATATATATATATATATATATATATATATATATATATATATATATATATATATATATATATATATATATATATATATATATATATATTTATATATATATTAGGGTGTGTCATACTTTGGTCAAAACTCAAAAATTCATATTTACCAGTGGCATTTTTTAAAAAAGGGTGAGGTTTAACATATGAAACTTAGAAATATCAAAAAATTTGAATTTAAATGAGTTTAAGCTACCAGGGAACTGCCTTGAAAATTGCCAAAAAGTGTGAATTTTTGATATTTTTATACTTTCAGGGTCATTTTCAATATTTTAGACTTATATCTGTTTTACAACAACCTTATCTTAAGAAATTAGGAATAAGGAAAGGAAGATAAGAAAGCAGGATAAGTAAAATTCATTTAATAGTTATACTGTTTCAGAAATTTTTATGAATACTTAAAAATTATTATTTTTTTAAAGTTTTGTGGCGTTAATTTACATCTCTTCCCCCTATTTTTATTTTTGATTATGATAGAAAATTTTATGCTGATTAAGAATCATATAAAAACATAGCTCTGAAAATTGAAGCAAAGTACTCTAATTTGATGTTGAAGTTTAAAAATTACACTAAAAACGCTATTATTCACCATTATTTTTGTACTCTGTTATGATTAAAATTCATTCAAAAGTAAACTTTGAAAATAACATAAACAACCTGGTTTTTATTGTCAACAAAAAACGAAACTGTTTTTTAGTAGCTACTGATTTAGAGATAG